CGGGGCCTGCGGCCTGGCGCCGCCGTACGCGCTGTTCAAAGGCGCGCACTTAGTAGGCCGCGCGGCCCGTGGTGTGCGGCAGACACCTGCCCCAGAGGGGAGCGGGGCTGCATGGCTGCGGCTCTGCTCCCTGGCAGGGGAGGCCAGCTGCCTTTCCTCTCGTAAACGGCCTGAATTGTAGGAACAGCAATTCTAAATGTGAGGTCTGCGCCTTACGTTGCAGTGCTGGAGAGCCAACTTTTTCCGTCTCTTTTGTCTGGTCTAATAAAATACATAAGCTCGGTACTGGATACTAAGCAAAGTAGCTTTGTCAATGGCTTGTGTTTATTCAGGTTCACTGCGTGCTTGTACTGAGTATTATGAATATCTGCGATTTAATTAAAAATTTTAAATTTTAGTATAATTATATTTTTATAGGTAAGCATCCCTCCCTTTTTCTTTGAAGCCTTTTTATATGCTCCTATTGATGACACAAATAGCACAGCAAAGATTGGGAATGGAATCATTTTCTTCACTTTGTATAAAAAAGAAGCGGCCATGTGGGATTCCCTAACTCTGGCAGATGGTAAGTTCCCTACTGTGAACAGTAGGTTGCATGGAAGAAACCCAAACTCTGCCAAAACTTTTCAAACTATAAAAAGCAAGGTGAAACTTCTGCTGCTGGGTGTCTGCTAAGTTAAACCGTGTTGTTCATTGCTAAAAATAGAAGGTATATGAAAACAGTGAACATCTACTGGCTCTAGTGCCCACAACTAAAACAGTGTTTCTTGGAAAACTTACATTCTGTGTGTAAGCAAATCTTAGTTTTTCTTTTTGTAGAGATGAGCTTGATAGAGACTGCTTTGTGGGATGTGAACCATGTTGTGTTTTCCCAGACAAAGTAGCAAAAGACATCCTATTTTTGTGAATATGGTATATAACAGTAGAACTTCAGACCTAAATTACTAAAATAGTTTTTATTTGCTTTTGAAGTTAACAAGGAGAAACTGCAGTATCTAAGAGAGAATGCTGTTCGAAAGGCCCATGAAAAGGCAAAAGAGGAGACGGAAGCAAAAAAAGTTACAAAACAGGAACACAAGAAATATGCTTTGGAGGCCACAATGAAGGTAAGCTTAGAAGGAACTCTACAAGACATATCCATGTAAACAATTACCAACTAATCTGTCTGCTGCTTGGTTGGATTGTACCTTAAAGTATGAAAAGTACGCATTTTTATTACAGCAGTTGAGAACCTTGTTATTTATTTGTACTTAAAACATATCTATTACCAAATATGAAAATGATACGGAAAAAATACTTAGAAGTTGCCATTTTCTATTAGTAATACTAATGAAAATTTTTGATGAGGAGCTCAGATTTTTGTCAGTTGAAAGGCGACTACACTAATGCAGCGAGACTGTATTTTTTTTGTGGCCTTTGCTTCAGCGCAAGTGTTTAGTCCTTCGTCACTGTCAAAAATACTGATTTTTAAAAAATGTTATTTATCCATTGTTACATTTTATATCAGACTTGCTGTTCATTGACTTTTGTATGTGTGTATCTTGTTTTGCGTTTTATGTGTATTTTAAGATACATTCTTTCCTTCAAAATTTTTATTTATATACAAAGTGTGGTCGCTTAATTTGTGTTTAAGAGGATTTTTAAAAGCATATAATGAAATTTTAAGATTGCATATGCAATTTGAACTAAAATAAACTCCGGTTAGTGACTTTCTTAGTAGCAATGTTGTACCTATTCTCTCTGTGTAATAATCTCAAAGAGAAGAGGAGAAATAAGAAATAGCGTATTAAAATGAAGCCATGTATTTTACATTTCTGCATATTCCAGAGATCTGCATTGCAATATGGCTAGGATTTTCATTGTTTACAAGTAAATCTTACATCTGAATGTTTCTGGATCAAGCCTTAGTCGTGGTAGTAAAATAATTATAAGATATGACTTCTTTTAAAAGCTAATCAGAAATCTTTAAGCATCTTTCATAACTCTGCTTGTATGATTACATTAATTATGATGCTATGCTTGGGATATGAAAGTGGGAAAATAATGGTAACTTCTATTTAGTCATCCCACTGTTATCAGATGTTATATATCTCAGGTTTATCATTCAAACAGCTAGAAGAAGCAGAAAGAAAAAGAATTGAAGATCTGAAAGAAAAGGAGCGGCAGAAGGTCACTGAGGAGTTGGAGTTGTGGAAAAAACAGCAAAAAGATGCTGAGAAACAAGAGAGGTCACTACATCGAGAAGCAGAACTACATCAAGAAGTAGAGCAATTAAAGGAGAAGAAGATGGAAAAAATGAACCAAACTAGGATTCCTAATGAAGGAACTTCTAAGACCAAACCTACTAAAGGTTTGTTATTGCAGTGTATTTTATCATTCTTTAAAGTGTGGGTATAACTTTATTCCTAGATGTTTCTAATTAATCATTTATCTTTGTCTCCACCATACTGAACTAACTATTTTAGCTTGCAGTTATTCTAGTGTCTTTATGTTCAGGTGACTTATTGAGCTAAAGCATGTGAGTTCTTAGCTCTTGTTTAAGTCTTTGGAAATACAAAGGCATGTTTTGTTCTAGGCTTTAGAGAAGTAAAACAGAAAGCCTTTCTGACAGTGTAATGCAGACTTTCTGAGGGTGGAGTTGATGTTACCCTAAGTTACCTAACTGCTGGTTTTCATAGAAGTAGGCAATTTCCTTTCACTCTCTTTATCCCATGTCTTGGCCCCACAGAGAGCTAATTCAGGGAACTAAAACAATGGAAAATACTTCTTGGTTTTTTGTTTGTGTTGGTAAGGTTAGTTTTAGCTCTTGTAGTTGCCCTGTCAGAGAATCATATAAGTGACAGAGACAGTGGTGTAAGAGGGATTTACGTTCATTTGTGACAGATAATGTAGCCAGAAGATAGATGGCGTGATACAGCAAGAACAAATATTTTTTTGAACCTTCCCTCCAAAAGAACAAGCCTAAACCTTTCTCAGGCTACTAGAGGTTTAGTTCTAATGTGCAGAATTTCTAAATCAGGGGTACTTTGGACTTTGGTAGAAAACCAGAAAAATCCCTTTCCCTTCTTTTTTCATTTCCAGTACTCCATTTCTCTTCATAGGTCATGGTTCCTGTAGTATGTTTTCAGAAAACTTAAAGGAAGAGCAGTTACCAGCTCCTCGTTCTGCTGCTACAATTAAAATCAACTTTACATCACGAGTTTTTCCTACAGCTCTGCGAGAATCTCGTATTGAAGAGGAGGAGGAGGTAAGGATTGCTCTCTATTTTAGTATGATGCTTCTGCTGTCTTCCAAGGTTGTGAATTATTTACCATGTATCCAGTAAGTTGACAAAAATGTTACCTGTGCCAAGGTACCTGTGCAATATTCTTACCTTCCAAGGAAGGCAGTCTTATTTAAATTAAGATTTAAAGAAACACTTTTATATAAAAATTATTTTCACCAAGCATGTGATTGTGCAGATTTATTAATAGCAGGTTCCTTTTTGTAGGAGGAAAAAAAAACCTGGCAGCAATATTAATTGACTTCCTGGAAGTACAAAATCTGATATGTTTTTACTCTTACATTTAAGATTCTTTAAGTTCTGCCTTTTTAAAAGAAAGCTCACAGTTAGCTCTTTTGAGTGAACATGAAGAGTCATTTCGGAAGTTTCAAAACGAATAAGCAAACAAAAGGGTGATGCAGTAACCTTAGTTCTTACACAGTAATAAAATATTTGGGGAAGCTTGGAAATTTTTCGTATCTGATATTAAATATTTCTCTCTGTCCAAAATATGTGGCAAAGAGAATTCTTTTGATAGGAATGAGTGAACAGATGAAAGCAAAATCCTTGTTTGGATTTCAGTTTTTCCACAGAAATAGTACTTGCATGTTGTATATTTACAGTGGCTACGTAAACAAGCAGAAGCTCGAAGAACAATAAGTGCTGATTTGTCTGAGCTGGAAGATTTAAAAGAGGAGGAGAAGAATCCAGACTGGTTAAAGGACAAAGGAAAGTAAGTCAGATTCCATCTGAAGGTTTATTTAAAATGAAATATTAGTTATATAGTGTGTGTATCTTGTTTAGTTTTGATATTTTCTGTCTGTTGTAGAAAGAGATGCTGAATGTCTATGTAGTAGAGAATTTATTGACACCTTATGGGGTTTGGATCTGATACAGTCATGAGATGCAATTGCTGAAGCTCACGATGAACAAAATCATTGTGAACACATAATGCATATTCTTCTATGAGGACAGTTAAGTCAGTGCCGTATTATACCTAGGTGGATTTTCTTTTGTTTGTACTTTTTATTGAGAGGTTAAACATCTCCCTAAAACAAACTTTAGGAATTTGTAAAAATACTGGTATGTTTATATAGCTGTGTTATACAGAAATGTTTGGTTAGGCAATTGTAATTGGATACATAGCTTTGAAAAGTAGTCCTGTGTCTGCGTAGATGTATCCACCTCTTCCTGCTCTTCATTGCTTTTAAGCAGTGACTATTTTTGTTGTGTGTCTATATGCCATATTGTCAGCATCAAGTTGGACTGAACTTCAGCTATAAGCTATCTCAGAAAAGGCTGTAAATGGCCATCTCCAAGGAAAAGCTGCTAAAACTTCAAATTTTTGAAAATTAATTGTTAACAACAAGTAGGGACTTGTTTTGTGATGTAGCACCTGGTTTAAAGTGCATGTTTCACTTTTTGTTTTATACTTAGCAAAATGTTTGCAACAGGAAACTATCTTGCAGCTGTAAACGCGTATAACCTCGCAGTGCGGCTAAACAATAAGCTTCCCTTACTGTACCTGAATCGTGCTGCTTGCCACCTTAAACTGAGAAATTTACATAAGGCTGTTGAAGATTCTTCTAAGGTATAAATATATAGGTTCACCGACTGTCATCTTATACATGATTGTGATTTATTGCTGTGATGCTTCTGTTTCAAGCTGATCTGTAAATACTTATTAGTGTGATTAAAAATTTTTAAATTCAAAATAGATGTAATGAAGCCATGGTGAAATACTAAAAATTAATAGTGATTGATTAATGAACTTTCAGAAATTTAAAGGGAAAAAAACCACCAACAACAAAAAAACACCAAACCATGCTTCCACACATTCGGGCCAAATGGCCATATGTTGACTCAGAACATGTTTCTTTACAGGTAAAATATTGTACCATTATATGCATTTGGAAAAAAAAAATACAACAACTTTGAGCATAAAAAAAATTTGAATATACACAGATACCTTTGGTATTATGTTGTGGTGTTCTTTGTTTGTTGGGAAGGAAAAAAAAACGGTGGTAGTGATGAGGAGTGATGAAAACACCAACAAACCAGGCCTTTTTAAAGAAGAGCTGTATCATCTCAATGTTTTAGCAGCCATTAGTTGGGCAGTGAGAGGAGTGATCTCAAATGGCACCTGAATAGTTTGGAGAAAGTTGTCCCAGAATTACTACTTTTTGAACTAACAAGTACTTGAGGCTTGAAACTTGGGGTTTTTTTTTTTAGCAACTAGTGCTACAATACATGTGCTTTTTTAGGGCTGCTTTTTTTTTTTTTTTTATCATGGTATATAATATGATGTGTGAAAATAGAATACGTTATTTGACTGTAATAAACATTTAATATGGTATTTGTCAGTTTTTAGCCATGGCAATGAAACTGTATTTAGCAGACTGAGGTGACAGAGATACAAACCTTAATGACTAGTTTCACAAGCCATACAGTTAAATTTGAATAGTTATTTTCTATTACTATTTGAATAGTTATTTTGTCACTGTATAATAATAGTAATTAGGTGAGAGGAGCGTGTGTAAATGAGGAAAAAAACCCCAAATTATGGAAAATCTACCTCTAAATATTTTGGCTGTTTTAATTCGTAAAGGCCCTAGAACTGCTGACACCACCTGTTCCTGATAATGAGAATGCTCGAGTAAAAGCATATGTGAGACGTGGAACAGCATTTTGCCAGCTGGAATTATACGCTGAAGGTGAGACCTTGATTTTGTGAAAATGTGCTCATGGATTTATAGTGACATGCAAGTATTTCCATTTAGCTCAATAAGAGTACTCACAGCTTTATTTTTTCAGGAGGGATGCTGAAGGAGGCCTAATGTCTCTTTTTGTTATGAACCATTATGCCATATTCCTTATTTTTGTTTTTTTAATTTACTGGCTAATTGCAATTCCACTTGAAAAGTATAAGTCTTAATAAAATCGACTGTACTCCTAATTTAAGGAGTACAAGTTAGTTCTCCCATTGAGAACAAGGCTTTAACGAGTTGTGTATCCTCTGTTGGGTCCATTGGGTCAGTCTTTCCATGCATAATGGCCGGCTATGGACCATAGCAGCTTGGTGGCCATGGAAGGTATTAGTGAGGAACGAATGAGAGGTCAGACATGAGGTACTTGTGTTGGGAAGCATTCAAATGTAGGATGCAAGCTGATACGAAACTAGGTTGCTCTCATTTTGCTGTTCGTGAAGCAATGTTGTATTGTTTTTGAGATTATATTTACAGTATTTCAAACTGTGGAATAACCTGAAATATTTCAAAAATATTTGCTTGTGAAGTGCTTAGTAGTGTATCTTTGTAAAATGATGTATGAAACCCATATTGATGAGCAAGATGTTTCATCAAGTACGTGCTATTTGTATGAAAACACCTGAATTAACAGTGTCCCTACTGCGTTCTCTGAGAGTATCAGTTTAGTTTTGTAAGGCAAATTTACAAGTGAAAGTTGATAATAGAAAGTGAAGAATATTCCAAATGTCAGTGTTAAAATATTTAAGTTTTTCCAACTGGTTACATTTTTTTACCTATGAATCACTTTGTCATTGCCTTACAGCTTCATTTGCATTTGGAAATCTTATAAAAAAGACAAACAAGATTTTATTTTACTTCCAGTACTTGTGGTTTGCTCCCCCCCTCCTCCAAGCTCTCGTATTCACAGTTCATGTCTTTTTTTTTTGTTTTCATGCACTTTCATTGTCATTCAATTTTTCTCTGTTTTGCAGAACACTTTTGAACTCTCCCTTCATGCATATGTGCATATATATGTGTGAATGAAGAGATGAAGAGGCTCTGTTTGCGTGTGTCAATATCTGAAAATGTTTATGTAGTACAGTGTTTGCAATAAAATGTTTTGTAAAATAATATAAACAAAATACAAATTTATTTACTGACAAAAGTTAAACCTAATGTCATTCTGATTCCATCTTGCTCAGTAGCAGAACTTAACATCGATCCTTTGTGCATATGACTAGGGAGCGGTTGTTTCCAGTTAGTTGCTAAAGAGGATGCTCTTGCATTATTGATCGACATTGTTATTAATGTATCTATACTAGGTCTCCAGGATTATGAAGCAGCTCTCAAGATTGATCCTACAAATAAAACTATAGAAAAAGATGCTGAGAAGATTGAACACGACATTTTTCTGTTTCACTCAGAACACCTACGAAAATGGTAAAAGATTGGATGTATGAATTACTATTTTTGGAGAATATAGTATTATAACAAATATGATTGATATCTTGTATATCATTTTGATACAAAGTTGTCATATTTCTGCTGTCTGTGAAATATTGGTGGGCCAAATATTTAAACATTCTTTTGGTACTTGATTTAAACTTAGTCGTAACTAAATGAAATATTTGTCAGGAAATATCTCCTGAATCTAGACAGAGGGTTTTCAAACAACTTCAGCAGTGCTGAATCGTCAACACCTGTTAACTTCTTGTCTTTCTGTTCTCCACCAATGCCGAAACAGTTACATGTTTTGTGGTTATGGGTATATGCTTTCCTCTTTTCTTACTGTTCATAGTGTTTGGCACATCTGAAACTAAGACAGTGAATTAGATACTCTAATTCAGGCATCTAATTGGGAAAACTTCCACCTGGAAGCATAGAGGTAGATTTTGTGTAGTGCAGCGTGTTCTTTTTAGCAATGAGTAACGCGCATTGAATATTTTCAGACTATTTTGAAACATTTGTTTGGGCTGACCAAACAAGGTAATTGGAGAAATTATAAACCTGTAGTGTTGTATTGCAGTGTAGTGATAAATTAATCCTGTGATAAGTAGTCCTATCAATTAATATGGCTTACTTCTCCATCCTACTACAATTGGTAATCTTACAGTGTAGCTGTAAAACATATTCTAAACCAAAAACATTGTTATTTATATGAGAATATATATTTTTCTTAATCTAGTATTTTATTTTGTACTCTGTTGACATTGGCCAGTATCTCAGCAATACTAGTATGAGTAAAGATTCTCAAAGAAGGAACCATCCTGGTGAGGTTACAAGTGTTGTAACATGACATGAAGCATGACACTGTGATTTGAAGTCCTGCACCCGTTGTTTTGGATAGTGGGAGAATGTAATATAGAATTGTATTGGTTTTGTACATATATGTTAGCATTTGTGTTACCATGACAACCTGAAACACTCGACTTGAAGTGGTTCTGTTTTGTTAGGCATTTTATCCAAATTGTGACCATTTCAAGTACACTCCTTTCAGTAGCAGTTTTAGCAGATCTCTGAATTTTCCACATCAGACTGTTTCCTGAATACCATTTGTGACTGATTTCTGTCTTTAGAAGAAAATATTTATTATGCAGATGTATCTTATTCTGTGTAAAATTTATACTTTTGGAATAGGGAGAAGGTGGCAGTTGTAGCTTCCAGTTGCATTACTTAGAGCCTTGAGAGGAGTGCTGAGTGGAGTCAGAAATGTCTGGGGTAGCTGCTGTTCCTGCTTTCTTACAGCTACCTACTGCATTGCAATGGAAGGGGGTGAAAATAATATATTTATAGCAGTTGGAAGGAGGGTAGTGCAGGAGCCTGAGTGCCTCAGTTGAGTGTAATGGTATAGTTGTCAAAATGTGGCTGTTTTCTTTCATACAATTACTGAGGGGAAGTGGGGGCTAGGGAGGAGAGACACTGGCAGTGGAAAAAGAAAATGCAAAGCAGCAGACAATGGCTGGCTGTGTTCTCCTGATTTTCTGTTTTGGTTCCAGAGCCTATTAGGCCAGTCTGTGTCCATCTGTATAGGCTATTTGTGTTGTAGTGATCTGGTATAGCTACTCAAGGCTATTTTTGATGTAGACAGGGACCTTTTTCTACTGCTACGAAATAGAAACAGGTGCCCTCTTTAAAGGTTAGGGAGGCAATGTGCTTGGTGGCATGAACAATATCAGCCTGTTTCATCTGATTATATTGGGAGCAAATGGATGTTAAACTTCCGACTTCAGTACCTGAGCTGGCACTGTGTACCCCGTATCAGTCATATGCACTATGTTGGTATTAGGGCCCTGAGATGTAGGAACCTGGAGACTGGCTTTAAGTTTTAAAACCAGGAGATACTTTAATTAAAACAAATAAACCTTCAGGTCAATGTCTCTTGCACTTAACTCTTTCTGTAAATTTAGAGTTCTACATTTATGATACCAGTTTCGAAAGTTTTGTTTTTGTGGGTTTAGTTCTGATTGAGAGAAGCATATCATCAAATGGGCTACATCCTTTTTGATACATCTTACTCAACCCAGAAAAACCAAAATAAAGTAGATATTGGCAGTTATTCCCAGAATGACTCAAATAACAGATTTGTTTTCTTAAGCTAGATGTCCAGTCTTAAGTCTATGACAAAAAGGTGGAGATGCATTTTTACAGAGTGTGCTGTAAATTGGGGGAGTCATATACCCTACTTCTGTCAGTGGCAGTGTTTAAATAACTATCTTGAGATGACCCACAAGCGAGTAAGTGTTTTGAAAAGGTTCGATCCACTGGATGGTAAGTACAGGGTACCAGCTGTGAGACTGGTGGTATAGCACCATATTCACTTGCAGTTGTTTTAAACAATAAAACCTGAGGCTTTGTCAAAGAACCATTGGTTATGAGTGTCCTGGGGTCCAGCATACAGGAAAACACCGGATTGCCAGGATTTGCGCAGAGAGGCGGGAGAGGAGATTGGTTTCGCTCAGTGTTCGGGCTTGATGGCAGTTTCTCGGCAGAAGTCATCTTCTTTCCCTGCTAAGGAGATGGATTTAAAAATTCAGTCTTTGAAATAACAGGGCACAGCATTTCAAATTTGTTAAATGTTTGTGGTCAGAGCAAATGTTGCTCAAGACGTGTATTGAAAGACACGCACAGTGGAGAGTGAGGAACTTAACACTGCTGGCTTTTGACCTTATTTAGTAAACTGTGGACAGTGATAAATGGACTCATGTTGGCTACGAAGTGTAGTAAAAATTTGAATTTGCATCAATTTCTGCATTAGTGATAATCTTGAGCATAGAAAATATCTTCATATGTGTGGCAGATATAATTATAAAAATTTATATTAAAAATATGAATGGGAGTAAGAATATAATGAGGCTTTGTGGATGGTTTCTTTTGGTTTTGACTTTTCTTTTTCTAATATGCAGAAATAGAGCCCGAAAGGAAGGGGCGGATGACTGCCCTTCCTCGCTCGCGTTCAGGTGCGCGCATTGCCCCCTGCCCCGCCGGGAGCGAACCCACCCCTGGCAGAGGCTGCTCGGCACCCTCACCGGGAGTTCCAGAGCACCGAGCGCAGCCCAGCTGGGCAAGCTCCTCAAAGCCTGGTGTTCTTCAGAGGTGGAACGAAATCTTTTTTCTGTGTTTCTCCATCCCGTAGGAGATGAAGAAAACGCGGAGTTTGCCAGCTCAGGTAAAACTCCAGTGAGAAGTTCTGACTTGGCCTGATGAGCGAGGCCCGCTGCCTCCCGCTGGTGTTTGGCCCCGCTCCGGGAGCAGCGGTGGGGCCTGCCTGTCTGAAGGGCCGCTCCGCGCTGTGCCCGGTGCTGAGGTGCCGTTTCCTCCTTTCCCTCGGTACGAGCTTTGGTCGCCGGTACCGGAGCGCGCCCCGCCCGCGCGGGCTGCCCCTTCGCC